ACTATCTGGCATTTTGTTCTGTGCCTTTTGCATGCTAATATCACTGTGTGTGAGTTGGGCAGCTATATAAATTTGTAAATAAATAAAGCAAGCAAAGTTCACACTACTTGTGAGCCATAGAGAAATATACTCTTATGCTTTTGCTCCCTAACATTTTGACTCACTAAAATCATAGGACCATTATCATAATGCTTCTAGGGTCTGCAGATTAAGCAGAAAATGACAAAATGTCTGTTATGACTTCGTAACACAATTGATATGACTAACACAGATGTGTACAACATTGGGATGCAAGAGAAAACTCCAGGGTTTGCATTTTGACATCATAACACAAGTTTTTTTTCCATATTTTCTATTATTGCAGTTGCAATGCCTTTCTGGAATAAAATGGAATTTGCTTTTCCTCCCTGATCACTTAGGATGTTTGTAGAAATGTGTGTGTGTGTGTGTGTGTGTCTGTGTGTGTGTGTGTGTGTGTGTGTGTAAATAAAATAATCTGGATATCTATGGCAATGAATAGTAAGCAGTATCTTTATGGATACATCATGTCCCAGTTCCTGCTATAGAACCTAGATGATGATGTTTAATCCTCATCAACTGCTTTGATCTTAAACTGCACCACTAATTACAAAACCTCTTTCACTGAGAGCCAGTTAAGTCTTGTGGTTAAAGCATCTGGCTAGAAACTGGGAGTTCATGAGTTCTAGTCCCATTTTAGGCATGAAAGCCGGCTGTCTGGATGACTTTAGATCAGTCATTCTGTCTCTCAGCCCAACTCACTTCAGAGGGTTGTTGTGGGGAGAATAGGAGAAGGAACATTGGTTGCCTTGAGTTATTTCTAAAAATAACAAAGGCAGAATATAAATAAATTTGTTGTACTTTGGAATTCCATCATTAATTTATTTTACTTTTTCATAGTTGAATTTTTAGTATAACTTGAGATTTAGAAAAATTATAGATCGCTGGACCGAACATTTTATATGGTCCCTGTGTGTATCCTGGTAGCTGAATGTATGTCAATAACTTTGATGCAGAAGTATTGCAGTCGTGTTAAAGGCATTAACTATTCTGAGATAATAAGGGGATAAAGTGAAACATGCATTATCCATCTAAAGCAACCCTTCTTTATTATTATGGTTCATTGCAAAGTCAGCCAGATTTTCAGACTAGGTTTGGCATATTTATTCATCTATCAAGTCCTTCCCAAGGACCTGGGATAGGCAGGTGTGGATGTTTGATGACATTAAAGGTATCATCACAGAAATCTGTTCGGAATAAAACTGCCTTTGGCAATTGACTGATGGCAATTTTGTCAAATCTGATGGTATTCAAGTGGTACTACAGTTGTTCATTTATTATTAATACTATTATTATATGTGTATTTTATTCAGCTTCTGAACCAATCAAATATACAGCAGTGTGATTATTCTACTGCATTGAAACAGTACAACAGAGAAAAGAACAGGACTTCATCTATAATTCCTGGTAGGTTTGTCAAAAACAAAATTCACTAAATATAACCACAAAATTAAGACAGTGATTTTATTGCAGTTATTATTAATATACCAGAAGTATAGCATGATAAATGAAGTTTAGGGAAAACGAATCTGTTATTTTGCACTTTCCCTTTTTAATATTTGTGACCAATTTTGAAGTTATTTATGCAGCATATTGAACATTGTGGTAAGTAGTCATTTACCGGTATATTAACTTTTGGTATTTTTCTATGTAAGCTTACATAGATATAATTCAAAATGGATAAGATGGATGCATCTTGAAATGACAATGCATTTGTGAAAGACTGTACAATTCAGATAATGTAACTCAGATCATCCCAAATCCTCTCTTTTCAGTTTTGTATTTTATACACTTTTAGTAGGAAGGAAGGAAGGAAGGAAGGAAGGAAGGAAGGAAGGAAGGAAGGAA